GGGTTTAGGGTTTAGGGCCTATGGGAGACATACCCTGCCCCTCTTTCGGGTACCTACCTTTTCCCATATAAGAGATCCTAACCATAAAACTAGGTCCCCCCCCCTCAAAAAAGTGTAGGGCATGACCCTCCAGGTGGGCCCCAAGGCCCTATCCCTGAAGAAGCCTAGTAGGATTCTCATGTAGAAGCCTTGTAGAAGTCTTCTAGAAACCCAAAGCGGGACTCTTAAAGAAGTGTTATAGAAGCCTTCTAGAAGCCGAAAGAGAAATCGTAAGCTAAATTTAGGGGCCTTAATAATAAGACTAGGGTTTTGGGGTATATTATACTATAACTATACGAAGGAACCCCAAGAAGAGTATTTGTAACTCTGGAACCCCTCATGAGAGCTGCACTAAACCCTAAACCCTAAACCCTAAACCCTAAACCCTTAACCCTAAACCCTAAACCCTAAACCCACCTTCTCAAAGTCGGCAGATGCACCCATCTCGCCGGCAGCCATCTCCTCAGTCTGCTCTGGGTGCTTCTTTGCTTAGGAGTTAGGGTGTTTTTTTCGCGTGGGGAGGGGTGGGGCATGAGTTCGGAGCTAGAGCTAGAATTCAAGCGCCTTTTAATTTCTTTCATCATTGGCGTAGGGTTTTGGGTACAATAGTAGGGTTTGGTGCATATTAGTACACTACAGTAGGGCTTCGGCGGGGGGCACGTTAGTATGCTTCTGCTTATCTAAGGGCGAGGAAGGTAGAGTAGTCCCAACTCTTCTCACCGATTCTGGTAAGCTTTAAGCTCTTTTGGGCTGTGCGGATCTTGGGTAGGGGCTTGGACTTGAAAAATTACCTCGATGCTCAAGACTCTCGACCCCAACCCCTGCCCCTAAACTCTCCTTAGACCCTAAACCCTAAACCCCTAAACCCCTAAACCCTAAACCCGAAACCCTAAACCCTAAACTCCAAAACTTTAGAGGTGGGGCTTCAACTTTCGAGTTGGGGCTTAGGGTTTAGGGGTTTAGGTGTTTGGGGGTTTAGGGTTTAGGGTTTAGGGTTCAGGGTTTAGGGTTGAGGGCTTCATGGAGAAGGATCCGGGGGAGCAGTAAGGGCTCCTACGAGAACTCCTTACGCGCCGCAGAGTTCGGGAGAGCCTTCGAAGGGGCGGTTCAGGTGAAGTTTAGGGTTTAGGGTTTAGGGTTTAGGGTTTAGGGTTTAGGGTTTGCAAGCGCGAACACCGAACTCGGCAGAATTCATCGTTCCAGTCGGCATGGCAAAAATCATTGGCTTTCGTGGCTTCGCCGAAGTTGAGGTCAAAGGGCCCCTGTCGATGCCCCAACACCTTTGGCCTTAATCTGCTCTGCCGAGTCAGCAAAACCCTAGACCCTGAACTCTAATCCTTAACGCACTACCCTAACCCTCTGAGAACCCTAAACCCTAAACCCTACCCAAACCCTCTGAGAACCCTAAACCCTAAACCCATAAGCACACCATCCTTAACCCTAACCCCGAAATTCTAGGCTATCTACGATTCCGACACTGGGGGTTTGGGGGTTCGGGCCTAGGTCTGTCCAGCTGAGGTGTCCCCGACGCAGAACTGAAGAAGTACTTTAGGGTTTAGGGTGTAGGGTTGAGGGTTGAGGGTTTAGGGTTTAGGGTTTAGGGTTTAGGGTTTAGGACAATAAGTTACATTATATACTACATGACATTATCTTGTACTGTATGCCCTTCAAGTTCCATCTGTCATTTCTGTTCTGTTCTGAGTTCTGGTCTGTTCTACTCTATTCCAGTCTATTCTAGTCTGTTCTATTGCGCCATACTATACGTTTCTTGTTGTGTCCTATTCTTTTCGGTATTGGTATCTTCGGATACATTACGTTGTATTATGTTTTGTTCATTCCATTCGACTATACTCTGCTATAGTCATTTCTTTTCTACTCTATTCAGTTATGCTGCGTTCCAGTCTATTCTCTGCCCTTCTAACATATTATATCATACTATGTTCTGTAACAGTGCATATGATTATCATTATAGTATTGTGGAACATACTGCCCTAAATCCTAAACCATAAACTGGATTATGGTTCCTTGTAGTCAAGTTCAGACTGGAGAGTGTGCGGCCGACAGTTTAGGGTTTAGGGGTTTAGGGTTTAGGCTATTTGTGGTTTATGTCAGAAGGAAGTCTGCCAACAGAAAATGACCGTCCTCAAAGATAGGCCCTACACCACCTAAGCCGAAAACCTAAATCTTGACCCTAAACCCTAAACCCAGAACCCTAAACCCCGAAACCCCGAACTCAGAACCAAAAACCCGTAATCAAATCTTCGTCCTAAACCCTAAACCCTAAACCCTGAACAGTCCGAGCGGCAGCCACGGAGCCAAGATCGTGCAGCAGGCCTACAAGGGATGACCAGAAGAGAGCTAGGTTTGGGTTTCGGGTTTGCGTTTCGGGTTTGGGGCTTCGGGTTTAGGGCTTCGGGTTTAGGGTTTGGGGTTTCGGATTTAGGGCTTCGGGCTCAAGGGCTTTAGGGCATTAGGGTTTAGGGCTTTAGGGTTTGGGGCTTCGGGCTTTAGGGCTTCGGTTTTAAGGGCTTTAGGGTTGCGGGCTTTGGGGTTTTAGGGCCCTTGGGTTCTCAGGCTCTAAGGCTCTTGGGGTGACCAGGAGGGCCAAAGGCTTCGACCAGGGATCAACCCTAAACCAAAACCCTAAGCGGAGGCGCAAAGGTGGACGCGAAGCACGCGAAAACGCCAAAAACACGAAAATCGCTGAAAAAGACGAAAACGCGGAAGAATCTTTTTTGGGAACCCTAAACCCTAAACCCCTAAACCCAGAGCTCAGTGGCTGAGCTCGAAAAATATTGGCAACTCTTTGGGCTTCTAGAGGGAGGCCTCAAGGCTCCCCTTCTGATAGCGTCGTAGAAGAAGGGTTTAGGGGTTTCGGTTTTAGGGTTTAGGCTCTAGGGTCTAGAGTTTAGGACCTGGGGTTTACGGTTTAGGGTTTAGGGTCCCTAACCCCTAAACCCTAAGTAGGTTTGAGTTGGAGTGGAGCCGTGGTGCTGGCGTTGTGACACGACGACGGCGACTGCGACGACGACCACCACGATGATGACGACGAGCATGTTGAACAACTCTTGGAATTTGCCGACGGTGAGTTGCAGACGGCGGCAACTTCGAGTATAGGGCCTGAACGAGCTCGGAGTGTAGGCTTAGGGCCTTTAGGGTTTGCACGCCCCCGGCGTGATGGTATCGTTGGATGCCCAAAGATCGATAGTCTAGTGCTCGGAAGAGACTCCTATGGCTCGGCGGTGCAGAGCGGACGCGCGCCTCTATTTTTCCTCACTTGACCCTCGATGGCTGCGATCACCAGGGCCTGCAGAGAGCAGCACCAAGCTTTCAGCTTGCATGCCCCCCCTCCCCGGGTAGGTTTTGCGACTGCTCTGACTACTCCTCAGAAATCTCTTCCCGTGTAGGAAGTGCTTGTTGTAAAGGCTGCAGGCCTACTTCTTTCCTTCGTCTCGCTGACTTCATTTCTGGATCATCTACTATTCTCCAGGCGAACTGCATCTGGTAGTACAAGTCCATCTCTTGGTTTCCCTCACTCTTGGTGAGAGAATTGGCGAGCTGGGCTTCGGAGTGCACCCACCTCAAGACCAGATTGGTCGACTGCTGTGCTTCCTTTAAGCTCAGCAACTCAATGTTGCTACGCTTCTCTGCTCCTTTGATTGTCAAGACTTCGGTATTCAGTTTGTCAAACACATTGCGGCTGTCTGTAATCAGGTTCCCTCCCACGCGACGCACTGTCTCGGAAGGATCTCTTAAGTTCACGTCGCCGTACAACATCTCTGACCACTGGTACCGCACATAGAACAGCACGTCCTCGCCATTCACTGCTGCCGCGGTTTCCGCGGCACCTGGGCTTCGGCATTTCCTGTCTATGCGGTTAGAGTGCCAACTGATTGGACTCACAGCTCCTACCTCACCCTTGAGCAAACTGGTAGACGCGGCGCCTACAAAGATGCCCTGCGTGCTGCCCCCGTCCAGTCGGTTCTGACTGGCAGCATCCACCCACGTGTAAAACTGCATGTCATCATTGCGACACCGCTGTATCAGCAACCTGTGGTTCTTTCTTCCTCTCTCTCCACTCAGCAGTTGGTTTGCTCGGATCAGGCTACTGACATCTGACGTGGTAACTTCGGACAACATGAGACTGACATCCGCCGACAGGTGCGGACTGGTTTGCTGAGCATACCAGCTGAGTGCCCCAAGCAACGCCCGAAGCTGACTCTTCTCCTGGCCTGTAGTGGGAGCTTTGGGTTCCTTACGCCTGTGGTTGCTGATGGGGATTTCTTCCACAATTTCCAGGTACTTGGGCTGTGACAAAGCAAAGCCTTCGGGCACTGTCTCAATCTGAACTCCACACTGAACAAACGTATCCTGGTCCCAATCCCCCCACTTGAACCTAGCTTTAATCTTAGCAAGGATCTGAAGCCATCCCTGGTCGTCCTTGTTTCCTCCAAAGAGGAAGTCGTCGACGTGGCCTGTGATCATTCCTCTTACGGCCGTGCCTGGTCCATCAGGGCGCCATATCCACGCGCAGGCGTCGGACCAAAGCCTGGTCAGGCCTATACTCTCCAGGTATTCTGCCACGGTCTTGTACCATTCCAATGGTGCATCCACCAAGCCATAACATGCCCGCTTCAGCTTTGTAATCGAACCCTCTGGTATCCCCATGCCCGCACAGATTTCTGGGCAGGGGATGCAGTACATGTCATCATGATATTCTCGGCCTTGGAGGAACGCCCCCGTAATGTCTCCCTTCTGTATAGACCAGTGGTTGTTTGCAGAAAGTTGCAAAAACAGTTGCCTCGTCTGCTGGGACATAACGGGAGCTGTAGTTGAGCGGTTTTCGTATTGGGGGTCCATGTACCCTAATAACACTGCTCTGGCCTTGGCCTTCACCCCCCCGTCATCCTTCACCTTCCAGGTGAGAATCCACCTCATGGCGACAGCCTGCTCTCGGTCGGGTTGTAGATGTTGCGGAAGAGCCTCGAAGGCTTTTGCAGAAATGAAGTTGCGGACCTCTGTAGACTTAGCTTCGCGGAACTTCTCCCTGTCCTCATCGCTGAGGCGTCGCTCGCTCACTTCCACTGTTTTCCGCTTCAGAGCTCCCACGAAGAACCCCGAGAGATTCTTGAGCATATGTTCCTGACCTCTCTTTGTCTCAGGAAGTGGCACCTCAATCTCCACTGCTTGCTGTTGGTCCATCCAGTAAGAACTCGCTTCTGCTGACCACGCGTGCTCTGGCACCTTCTGCCACCACCGGGATTCTTCGGTGGCGGGAAACTGCGGTCCTACATAACCCACTGTCCTCCTCATGACACTGGGCTGTCCTGGTTCATGGTCGTCTGGTTCCCAGTCTTCTGGGTCCTGGGGCACTTCGCTGCTGGTCCTGGGGTTAGGCCGCTTCCTTGTAATCCTGTGCCGTGAGGGGGGTTGTTCTTGGAGTGGGTCTTGTGCTCTTAGCCATTCTTGCTCACTAGGGAGTTCCTGACTGATGTCCTCGTAGCAGTTTCCTCCTACGGCCTCGGCCACTCGACTAAAAGTCCAAGGTGCTGTCTGTTCAGTACCTAGAGCCTCAATGAGTTCTTCTCGGTCACTAGCGGGCCTCAGCTGCTCCGGGCTGCACTTCAGGAGACTCCTACCTCTCACACACCAAATAGCGTGAGCTGGCCTACTTTGTCCCTCAGAGTCCCTACGCGTTTCCATAGCTAAGATCCTAGCTGGGCCCAGGAACCTTCCCTGGTTGGTCCCCGGTTGTCGTTTGGATCGGCCTGACTCTTGGGTTCGCCAGAAGTACACCAAGTCTCCTGGTTGGTAAGTACGTGAGGGCCTGGTTCGGGAGTTGAGAGCCTTTGTGATTCTCTGTTGAGCCACCCATTCCGCTAAACCCTTTTCAGCTTCAGCGCGCCGTTTGGCCTCTTGTTCAAAGGTCTCACGAGGCTGGTTCAGAATCACCTCTTCTGGAAGATTCCCCTCATGAGGCAGAAAGCGTCCCATAGCATCGGGTGCCTGGCCTAACACATGCTGAACTGGAGAGAAACCCCTGACGAGCTCCTTCTGATTGAACACTGAAACAGCCATGCTGATTGCCTCTTCGGCTGACGTACTTGGGTCTGCCTCACACATTTTTGACATCAAGTTCTTGATCCCCTGAACTGCCTGTTCCGCTAATCCTATCTGCCAGTGGGCCTCTCCTGGAATCACGTCATGATAGATGCTGTGCCTGTCACAGAAACTTTCGACGGTACTGGAACGGAAACTCCCTGCCGGATCCAACCTTAAGGTTCTGGGCTTTCCGAAGACCTGAAACCATCCCTCCTGGAGATAATTAATGCACGCTGCCGAAGTTGGTGCCTGTTTCTGGCCTTTGAGCAGGATCTTAGCCATCCGATACCTTGAGCCCTCATCAATCACTACCATGAAGTTTTGGTGGAACCCAATGTCCAATGTCTGCTGAAATGGTATGGAACTTTGGTGGAAGTGGCTCCAGTGATGCCACCTGTCGTGGCTGTACCTTGGTCCTCTCCTGGCACACGGGACAGCGAAACTCTTCCGCAAACCGCAACACTAGGGGGCTCGCTCGACGTCTTTTTAAGGCGTCGATCATGTGCTTGGTGCTTCCATGTCCGGTGGCGGCGTGTAAGAGATACAGCTTCCTCTTAATTTCCTCCACCTCTTTCTTGTTCCCCCCCTGTTGCCCTGGTTGCACCTCTCCTGCCATTGCCTGTTGCCCACCGTCGTTTTTCAGCATCTCTTGTGGCGTTAGCGCCGGTGGCGGTATTAGCCCCAAGTCATGCATGAACTTACGGTCCTCAGGAGACAAGTGCACACAACCACGACTAGTGAATCCTCCTACCAACCAGCGTTTCCCATGCCAAGACTGTGGCTCGTGCCATCTCTTAGCATCAAATGTCACCACCTGCCGGCGGACACTTCTCAGGTGTCCTGCGATGGTGACTCCCTGTGGAGTCTTCCGAAATGTGGTCCTGTAACCAGGTCCTGGCCCGGCTCCTTCCAGCCACAACTCTCCGCGCTGATATGGGGTCACTCCAATGAGGTAGTTCTTACTTCCCTTCTGGTTGTGATGGTCCTTGTGCATGACATGTCTACTGTTCTTGTTGACAAAGACAGAACTACAATGCACGGCCTCGGGTGACCAATGTTTCAAGTAGTTCACCAGATACCTACAACTGTTGGGAAGTCTCTTGGTCCACTTCGTAATGCCATACTGGTTTCCATAAGCATACACCCCAAAAACGATCATATTAGCCATCCCTTGTTCCAAGGCTCCCCTGTGATTGGTATGGTGTTGGTCAGGGCAAAGCTCCAGGAACTTCTGACATGTGTTGTGCCTATAGTCTTGACTCTGGATCAGGCTGATGGCTTGTTGCTCCACGATCTTAAGCTCCTGCTCAGTGTACAGACACTCCTGTTCGGCTTCAAGTTCGGGGCTTAGGCTCTCGGTTTTTCCTTCGGTTTCGCTCGCCTCGGTGGGTTCGGGGCTTTGGCTCTCGGTACTACTTCTAGCTCTGGCATCTCTAAGCATAGTAGTTCCTCGGAATCCTGACGCACACATAGCACATTTCCTCTCCTGAAAAGGAACTGCAATCTCAGAACACGCACAGAACTCCCCCTCTCCGAAAGACTCAAGTAAGCCCGTAAACCCTGAACACTCCGCAATGGTCTCATGATGCGTGCCCTCCTGCAGCAGGGCCTGACCGACTCTTTGAGCGTAAGCCTTGGTATAACTCTCTCCGTTGGGCCCTGATTCAGGTCGAACATGCTCCACCCTTCGGGAGCATTTACACGGCAGATCAAGCATGCGGTGCAATCTACGATGACTTGTCATGACGCTCCATCCACCCCTGACCACCCGACCCTGTGCATCTCGTTTATCCACCATGCATCCTTGGGTGGTCGCGAACCACAGCTGGTACTTACTCTTAAGTTTTTGGAAAACCGGCAGCCTCCATGCATTGTTCCTTGCTGGCATCTCAACTGAAACATGTATCCCTTGTTGCATGCACAAGTGTATCACACATGCCACCCCCACGTACTGCTTCATCACTTCCTTCCGCCTCTCGTTCAGTTGCTGTTGTTGGGCTTCGGACCTTTGATGAACATGTTGTGACGGGCTAAAACACTCACACTCGGGGGACAGCCACACATGCTGGGGTCTCTCAAGTTCTAAGCGTTCTCTAACTCTCCGCACTCCAGCATCATGACTCAACTCACTATATGTCCAATGGCCAGCTTCGGCTGCACTCTGCTCTTTTCCGGTCATTTCCCGAATGGTCTCTGTTAGCGAGAGTTCTGTCCGCTGGCTCAGCTCCAGCAGGGCGGGACGATCATATCCTACCAGATCCTGAAACAAGCAAGGAACTACTTTCCACGACTTTGCCTCCAGCTGTCGGGCCTTTGGCTCGCTCAGTCGTTCCTCTTTGGAAGAAACACGCAGCTGTTGCGCCAGCTGCTCAGATGCGCTCAACTCAGGTCCGGCTTCTTTCGCCCCTGTCGACTCCTCCGGCTCGCTCACTTCTCCGGCGAGTTCGGCTCGCGCTTGCCCTGGTTGGAGACCACGCTGTAGGACCCGTCCGTCTCCGTCATCTCGGCGTCGTTGTACCGGCGCTCCATCCCCTTCCGGGGTGGCTCCCCGCGGGTCGCCGCCAGCTCGCTCTTGAGCTGCTCGATCACATCGGCCATCTGGTCCAAACGACGGCTCGTCTCCTGATCCGTGGTCGTCATGCTTGTACTCCCCGATCGGCTCGATGCTGCCGTCGCTCGTGCTTTGGGCTGGAAGGGGCGTCGCCCTCCCGGCTTCGCTGTGGAACCTTGGCCCTTTTTGGGGCCCTCGTCGATCTCCTTCTGTGTCTCTTCGGTCTTCAACAACCATCGTGCCAGACGACGTAGTCGAGGGTCGGTGTCCTTGGGGTCCTCGATGTACATCTGCTGCACCCAACGGCTGTACTCGTCGTAGCTCCTTAGGATGTCGATGTACATGAGGCTGCTGTGCTTGCCGAACCCCACGTGGTCGTATGGGTGTGCTGGGCATTCCATCTGAAGCTTCTTGGCTGCACGAACCTCCATCATAGCAATCGTCTCGTTGCCGTTCAAGCTCACCTGGTGTTCGCGGCAGAAGGTGATCAGGTCCGGCTTCTTCCGAGCCGCCTTCCGCAGCTGTTTCATGGCCTCTTGCAGCGGTGACGTAGCACAAGTCGTCCCCTCGCTGCCACGAAGCTCGAGCAGACGTGTCTTCATTTCGAGTCTCGTCCAGCTCGCTGGTGGGAACTCGTTGTAGAACTCGAGCTCCTCCTTCATGTCCTCCCGGGTCATCTTGTTCAGGTTCGCCATGTTGTGGAGTAGCCTGGGTTCCTAGATCACGGTCTTCTGGCGGTCTACCGTTGGTCCTCTGCGCGGCTGCGGTCACCCGTGAACACGTCATACGCTGTGGCTTCTGCAGCGGCGGTGACATGTCATGTTGTGACTTCACGGGAAGAGATTGATCCCCTAAATCCCTTCTTCTAAAACCTTCATCATCAAGAGCACTCTCAAAACCTACCTTCTTTGGCATCGAATCCCCTAAAAACCCCTGTCCCATAGACTGCTCGCCCTCCGTTTTTCCTTCGGGACCTGGAAAACGGAGGAGTTGTCCCTATGGGTTTGCTACGGCATACTCTGATAAGCTGGGTACTGCCTGCGAGGTATGCAAAGCATCCTTGAAAAGATCGGATGTCATGGACAAAAGTTGGTGCCCTGTTTGCGAGCGCTCTACTTTAATCAACCTGTGAGGGTCCAAGGCTCTCAGGCAGATCAGGTCATTCCGGCAGTCGATGATCGCATCCAGCTTCCGGAGCGCGTCGATGGACAGGAGCAGGGGCCCTTCTCCGCGGTCGAAGCAATGGACCGTCAACGAGCCTTTCTTGGACTCGGCATCGAGCTGGAGCTTGATGGTCGAGGCGCAGCGATCTTGTGTCCCATTTCCAAATGAGAACACGGGCCTCTCTTGGAGGTCCAGACCCACCAGCCCGGTGAAGCCTTTGGTCTGCATGTTCCGGCCCATGATGTTCTCAATCGCCTTGATTGACGACAAAGTCTTTGTCGCCCCGCCATCTATCACAGCCATGCCTCTCGACACGGCCTCCTCTGTGCTGAGGCCAACGCTGAGCGCGAGCTCGTCTCCCTCGGCGTAGCAAACGAAGGAGGAGGAGGCTCCCGGCTCCTCTGCCATCTTGGCGCCTTGGACCGGTGGCTGGTCGCAATTCGCGACTCTATGTCCCTTTTTGCCGCACCGCAGGCAGATCATTTGCGAGTCATCTCGGGGCCGCGGCTGCGCGGTCTCGCTCCGAGGCTTGTTGGCAAAGTTCGGCTTGTAGAAACCCCTGGCCAACTTCACCGCATGCTGCTTCTGGCGCGCTTCTCGTAGTGTCTTCTTTGCATTCTGCATGACCGCCAGAGCTTCTTGAGCATGCTCCTCCGCGTCATTCCACATGGCGGCCTCGTCCGGGTCGAAGTCCAAGTGCGCCTCGTCCTCGCCCGGATCCGCGTCCTCTTCAATCTCGTCCTCCACGTGGTCGCCCATGTACCCCGCATTGCGACTGCTGTTGTCCTTGCGCCGATGATCTTCTCCATGTTGGTTGCGCAGCTCCTGCGCCACCTTCATGAAGGCGAAGTCCCCCTGAAGTGCCGTGATCACAGTGTTGCGGGACTGCAAGTCCAATCCGGCATCATGAAGAAGGTACCAGCCTTGAACAAAATCTGGTAGTAGATCCGGTAGCACCTCTTCGGGAACCTCTCGGCCTTGGTTCCACCAGCTAGTTCCGTAGCTGGCTCCTCCCCACTGCCAGTTGGAGCTCCACCACGAGCCCTGCCAGTGAGGATTCCAGTCATGGAGTCCCCAGCCTCCTGTCTCCCATGCGGGTGTAGATGCCGTCGTCGAGGAAGCCTCGGCCCCGTCCCCTGTATCCGGTTCTCCTTCTTCCTCGGCGCCTGTGTCTGGGCCGGGCTCGGAGTAGTCCCAACTGCTCCGCCGGCTCGTCGTCCTCATAGGGGTCCTCGTAGCTCTCGCCTGGTGTGGTGCCACACGGCGCAGTGCTTGGCATGCCCTTGTGTACACCTCACTCTTCCGGGTGATGTACTCGTTCATGCCTTCCGTGGGCCGTTTCCGTGAGCCCTTGAAGTACCGGGAGAGGTGCTCGGTCAGCTCGGAGACCTGGGGTCGGCCCAGGCTGCTTCGTAGGTGGTTCAGCAGGTCGGCCACTCCATTGTTATGGGATAGCCAGTTGGCTCTCTTGCCCACCACGAGTCTCTTTGCGGCGCCTCCCAGCTCGGCCGCCAGTCGCGGCCCGCAGAGGTAGCGCTTCTGAACTGCTACCGACTGCTCCCACAGCAAGGCGGACTCCTCGTAGTCCTGGAAGCTGGCCGCCTCTCCGTTCCATGTCGGTACTCCATCTTTCGTCTTTGAAGATCCAAGATCCATCACGTTGGCGGTGTTCTCTGTCAGGGGAGTCAATCGCCTGACAGTCTAGGTCCCTGGTCGTTTCAAGCTTCTTGTTCTTGAGCTCCACAGAGCTCCGCTACCATGCACGCCCCCGGCGTGATGGTATCGTTGGATGCCCAAAGATCGATAGTCTAGTGCTCGGAAGAGACTCCTATGGCCCGGCGGTGCAGAGCGGACGCGCGCCTCTATTTTTCCTCACTTGACCCTCGATGGCTGCGATCACCAGGGCCTGCAGAGAGCAGCACCAAGCTTTCAGCTTGCAGGGTTTAGGGTTTAGGGTTTAGGGTTTAGGGTTTAGGGTTTAGGGTTATGGGTTTAGAGTGGGCAACCCGTTGACAAGCCTCAGCCATCACGCTGGCAAGTCGCCGTTATGATTCCTGTATGTTGCCATGCAGACGGTGGCTACCAGTGTTCCCTCTAGTACTACTTCCTAAATTCAAACCCCAGCCGAAACCCCTAATCTTGAACAGCCAAGCCATACAAGGCTTATATGACAAGAGAACTGATAAGCTGAAAACATCAAAACCAAGTTATCAACCCCGCATTTAACCAAGGATAAATGCACAACACACACGCAGATGCATATCACATACACATATATGTACGTACATACATGCATTCATCCATGCAAAAAATGGAGGCAGGCAGGCAGGCAGGTGAGCGCACACACACACACACACGCACACACACACACACACAAACCGGCCCTAAAAGCCAAAAGACCTAAACCCTGAATTCGAAACGAAATACCCTTAAAGACCCTAAATTCTAGTACGTACAATATATCCCAAAACCCTGACTTTTGCACCCTAAACCCCTGAACCCCAAGCGGCCCCTAAACTCGCAAACCCTCAACCTTCACCCCCGACCCTAACCCTAAACCCTAAACCCTAAACCTAAACCGTGCTAAACGCCACCCACCTTCCAGAGCGGAGCCCGAAGATTTGCCGGGGCCCAGCTTAGCGTCGAAGTATCCCTGCATTGAGGGGTGAAGAGTAGCGTTTGGGGTATAGAGTGCTAAGTTTAGGAACTAGGGTTCAGGGTTCTTTAGAGGCGGGGGGGATGTTGAGATGGCACCCTAGACCTTAAACCCTAAACCTAAACCCAAAAACCCAAAACCTAAACCCTAAACCCTAAACCCTAAACCCTAAACCCTAAACCCCTAAACCTTGTTTCAGTTCAACGGGCTCAAGGATTCAGGGGTCAAGGGACCTTGGGATGCAGGGGTTTGGAAGGCCAAAGCCCAGAATTTTCCGGTTTACGGTTGAGGTGTTCCCTAAAGCCAAAACTCCACACCTAATTTCCCCTAAACCCTAAACCCTAAACCTCTACACCCTAAACCCCTAAACCCCTACACCCTAAACTCTACACCCTAAACCCTACACCCAAACCCCAATTTACAGGTGTAGGCTTCCAGCCGGAGGTCTGGAGGTTCGGGGCGTGTTCGGCTCTGTTTGTACAGGCAGGCTACGATCTTCTTCCCTTAGGGCTTATGGCTTG